TATCTATCTATCTATCTATCTATCTATCTATCTATCTATCTATCTATTCTCTCTCTGTATTTGTATATATGTCTGTCTATCTATCTATCTATCTCTTTATCTATCTATCTATCTCTATCTATCTATCTATCTATCTATCTATCTATCTATCTATCTATCTATCTATCTGTTCTCTCTCTCTCTGTTTGTATATATGTCTATCTATCTATCTATCTCTATCTATCTATCTATTCTCTCTCTGTGTATTTGTATATCTATCTATCTCTATCATCATCTCTCTCTCTCTCTCTCTGTATTTGTATTTGTATATGTATCTATCTATCTATCTATCTATCTATCTATCTATCTATCTATCTATCTATCTATCTATCTCTATCATCTATCTATCATCTGTCTCTCTCTGTATTTGTATATCTATCTATCTGTCTGTCTGTCTGTCTATCATCTATATCCATCCATCGAGCCATCATCTCTCATCTTGCCAGGCCACCTCGGTGCGACTTAAGAGCCTCCCCCGAATATCAATGCCGCATCAAACCTCCATCCCATTTCCCCCCCCCCCCTGCAAAAGCTCTCGGACGTAAACCTTCCATAGAGTAGGAAGCCAAGTGGGAGGGAGAGGGAGGAAGACACGGGGAAGGGGAGGGGGAGAGGCCTTTTCTCCCCCAAACCCCTCTCCGTTCTCCCTTCCCTCCTTCCCCCCCCAGCCTGAGCTCTGCCCCCCCAGCCTCCCCCGAGGGAAGCCACACCTTCTTTTTGAGGTATTTCTGGACCAGGCCGGATCCATCCAGGAGGTACTTATCCCCCCTCCGCTGGTCGATGCAGGCATGGAGGGGCTTCTTTGCCACGGCCATGATGGCTTCGGCCACGTTGGCATGGATGAAGTTCTTCTCGCTCTGGATGCCCATCAGCGGCCTGTCAGACTGGGGAGGCACCTGAGCTTTGACGGGGAGACGCTTTGGCTGCTCGTACATGCCTTCCGTCGTGGGGTGATGGGACAAAAAACCAAAAAACCCACAAAACCCGAGTGGGTGACGGTGCATCCTTTGGGCGTCAGGACTTCAACTCCACCGAACGACCCTCCGTCGAGTTTACCGAAAGTGATGCCGGGTTCGTTATTGTTTTTTTAAACACTGAACGCCCCAGCATGGCATCCCACCCTCCCCCTCGGTCCAAATTTTGGAAGCTCGGCAACTGACTTGGATGGACGCGAGGTGCTGTTTGGTGACTTCTGACGAGGGGAAAAAACCGATGGGGAGAGCCACATTCCAGGTTCCCCACCCAATGCCAACATGGCCACGCCTAATAAATCAACGGCTTCAGGACTTGGAGACTTATGATTTGAAATAGGGGGAGGGAGGATTGGTCGGCGCCTGGACAGTGGGGACTTCACAATGTCATCGGCAACCCCTCCCACCCCCACCCAGTTCAGGGAAAATCCCCCCAGTCTTCAAACGGGGCCCCAGGATCTCGACTGGAGGAAGAAAGAGGTACGAGTCCCATTTCCTTTCACCCCACAACCAAAGGGAAGAGTCGAGCGCACCAACGTACATTTGGGGACCTTGCGCTCCTTGGAGTGTTTCCGGAGGTAGTCCTTTGGGGTGGGCACCTGCAGCTTCGGGATGCCCATGGTCTGGCAGGGCGCCTTCTTCTTCTCCTCCATCTCCCGTTGGACGGATGGATGGAAGTTGGAGGTGTACCTTGGGCGGAGGAGACAGGGGACTCACAGATGAAGGGGTCTTCCCAGGTTCGGGATGCGGGGTGGACTCGATTTATCTATCTGTCTACCCATATTTCTCTCTCTCTCCTCTTTCTATATGTATCATCTCTCTCTGTCTCTCTATCCTCTCTATCATCCCCCTATCCATTTATCTATTCTCTATCTATCTATCTATCTATCTATCTATCTATCTATCTCTAGCTTCCTCTATCATCTATCTATCAATCAATGCTCTAGCTATCATATATTTATCGATCGTCTATCTTTCTATCTATCCTATCTTTCTCTCTATCATCTCTCTATCATCTTATCTATCAATCTATCTATCTATGCTCTATCATCTATCTATCCTCTCTCTCTCTATAAATTTATATACATTTATCTATCTATCTATTTATCTATCTATCTATCTATCATCTATCTATCTATTGATCTATCTCTCGTTTTCTCTGTCATCTATCTATCCATCTATCTATCCTCTCTCTATAAATTTATATACCTTTATCTATCTATCTATCTATCTATCTATCTATCTATCTATCTATCCCCCTTATATCTACCCAGATCTCTTTACTCTCTATCATCTAACTTTCTCTCTCTCTCTCTCTCTGAATATCATCTATCTCTCTATCTCTATCTATCTATCCACTCTGTCATCTATCTCTATCCATTTATTTATGCTGTATCTATTATCTATCTATCTACCTATCTACCTACCTATCTATGTATCTACCTACCTACCTACCTACCTACCTATCCATCTATCTATCTCCATTAGGGAATCTACTCCCTGCACCCACACGCCTACCTTAGCTGGGTCCTGGTGCTGCCTTCCACCCGGGTGGGGAGCCAGTGGTAGATGCTCTCCTGCTCCTCCGGGGGTGGTGGAGGGCACAGCATGTCAGCCATTTTGTCCGGGACGAGGGGCCCGGCGATCCCCCCCCTCAGAGAGCTGGCGCTGAAATGGCAGAAGGGGCGAGTTGGAGGAGGGTGAGGGGGTGGAATGGGGGGGGGGGCGGGGGCTGCCCCGGGGGGGGACGGGAGGGGGGGGGGGGGGGGGGAGAGGGAGGAAGAACGGGAGCAAAGCAACCCCCCTAAAATGCCTGGTGGGTTATACCTCGCCTCCGTGAGAGGGACACGTTCCGGGCCGGGTCGGACAAGGGAGGAAAGCAACAAGGAGGAATGTAGCGGTCCAGCCAGTTACACAGTGAATGGGAATTGGGAGTAATTAGTTAGTAATTGGGAGCTCTCTCTCTCTCTCTCTCTCTTATTGATCTATCTATCTGTCTCTCTCTGTGTGTGTATGTCTCTCTCTTTATCTCTATCTCTATTTCTATCTATCTATCTATCACCCGTCTCTATCTATCTCCCTATATGGATCTCTATCTATCTATCCTCTATCCTCTATCTAATCTATCTTTCTCTCTCACTATCTATCATCTAGCTTTCTATCTATGTATCTCTCTATGTATATCTCTATCTATCTATCTATCTATCTATCTATCTATCTATCTACTTATCTATCTCTATATCTATCTACCCCCTTATATCTATCTACCTAGCTCTCTTTACCATCTCTCTATCTCTCTCTCCCCCCTCTATCTCTATCTATCTATCTATCTATCTATCTATCTATCTATCTATCTATCTATCTATCCATCTCTCTCTCTCTCTCTCTCTTTCTATCTATCTATCTATCTATCTATCTATCTATCTATCTATCTATCGATCTATATCTATCTATCTATCACCTATCTATGTCTCTGTCTCTGTCTCTGGAGAATGTAATATATCCCATTTTTTTACTTTATTAGTCGATGGTGGGTATGCGGAGAACGTAATATATCCCAATTTTGCTCGGGAAACTTGATTAGACCAAAAAAGTGGTTGCTGGAATCCCGGTGTGTCCTTCACCTTTGGTTTCTTTCTGATTTTTTTTCCAGGAAGGCCAGAATCCCCAGGGCCGGGAGGGACCCCGTGAGCTCTTCTAGTCCATCCTCCGGCTTCTTACGTCCCCCGATTCTAATTGTCAATGGTGAAGGGGGGTGAAGAAGGGAAGGTGGAAGATTTTATTTTGTCTTCTCCCCCCCTCCCCGGCCTCGGCGAGACGGCGGAGTCTCACCTCTTCAGAGGATGCCTCGGCCTCTGGATTTGGCATCGATGTGGTTTCTTTCTCCGCTTCCTCTTTTCGTCGTGAACGACAAATTAAAAATATCTATATATTGCACCACCACCCCAAAAGCAATCGACTCTGTGGGTTTTGATACATCCTGTCTCTCTCTTTCTCTTTCTTGCTCTCTCTCTCTCTCTCTTGTCTTCCTGTTTTGCTTGATCTGTCATCCCTTCTTCCCACAACACAGGTGTTTCTGACCCCGCGGAGGAGGGGGGTGCGGTGTCCCCGCCCCCCCAAAAACAAAGAAAGGCCCCTCCTGCCCTCCCCCCCTGCTCCTCTTCTCAGTCGGTACTCACCCTGGCCCCAGGGAGCCTCCCCTCCACCCTTGGCCGCCGACTCGGCTGTTGAGGAGCGAATCCAGCCAGCATCTTTTCAGCCCCACGTTGCCTGAGGCGACTCCCATTCTCGTTGCCAGCTCCAAGCTCGACGGCGTCCCGTTCGACTCGCCACCGACCAGCGGATCGTAAGTGGGGAAGGACCGGGGGTGGGTGGGGGGTGGGGGCTGAGTATCTTATCTTTTTTTGTTTGTTTGATAAAGTTCCTTCCTTCCTTCTTTCTTTCCTTCTTTCCTTCTTTCTCTCTCTCCCCCTTCCTCCCACTCTCCCTTCCTTCTTTCCTTCCTTCCTTCCTTTTTTATTTCTTTCTTTTTCCTTCTTCCTCTCTCTCTCTCCCTTCCTCCCACTCTTCCTCCCTGCCTTCTTTCCTT